GCCTCCACTGGGATTGAGAAAGCTACTTTGTGCGCGTACATACATGAAAGCATCCGAAACTAGCAAAGTTTGGGCATTACATTCGTTATGTTCGTGTACATAATTGTGAACAATTTTTTTTCAAGAACTGTAGAAGGCGAGCAATCTTCCGCTTTCTGGAGATAAACGTTTGAAGTCATTAAAAGGCAGCGTCCGGGCAGATTTGGATATTATAGGATACTATTATAGCCGAGTACTAGGGCCTCGATCTAGAACTATCGCGCAATTCCGACTTTCAAACACCCCTTGTAAAAGGAGAAAAGATCGGCGCAGAAAACGCCGAACCTCGAGGACCACGCCCACTCCCTCGCACGGCCCGCCCTGTTGAGTGAACTCTTCTCAGCCCTTGACGTATTTTCAAGTGGCAAACACAATAGAACACAGAGTGTCTACCAGTTATTGCTTGCTTTCGACAAGGATTGCATTAGAAGCACTCGTCCACGCTTCTCACAAAAGTGTCTTAATATTGCGGTTTTTTGAGGAATTCACGCATTGTGTGTTATAATTTTGGTCATCGCCATGAAAAGGCGTGGATAAGGCGAAAAAATTGAAGTAGAGATTGCGCCTGAACGCTTCCTTCAAGCAGAATTTGGGGAGTACACATCCAAACAACCCCGAAACGGATCAAGCTGACCTCCCCGTTGAAAAGGAGTAGTAGAACTATTTAAGTGATCTTTAGCATTATAAAATGAAGTTATTTGTTTCTTATTGCAAGTGACCAAGATAGCTTTATAGATTTCATGAAATTGATTTGCTACATAGAAGAAGGCTAGCGCCAACATTTTTTTCCAAATATCTCAAGGCTATAAATCACCAAATAAAAGACCTTTCTTGAGAATTACTGGAAAGCAAGACTACGGACATCGCTTGCAATGAGAAGAAAATTCCGGCAACCGATCATGTGACATAGGTACGCACTAAATTATTATTTGAAAAGTTTTGCCCGAAGATAAAAAGGTTCAACAATGCTCAACTCCCTATTTTCGCGAATCTTCCGAGGATATTTGTCGCCAGCTAACGAACCAGAAAAACACAAGTGGATTTCCGCAAAGGACACGTAGAGCGTGAAGTAGTCTCAAACTAATCAAGAGCTTCTGTAGTGGATGAGGGGTTCACACATAGGAGAAAAGCAACGAAGAATCAATCAAGGTGTTGTGATGTGGTTGCCAAGCTCTTACTCCCATAACGTCACGTATCCGCTAAGTTAATCGCAAATCGCTTTAGTGCAAGCTCTTGGAGAATGGATGTTATGAGGTGCGGCTTCGATCGTTTGGAGTTTGATGGGATCGTTGGAGACACTCATATTCAAATCGCCACTCTAACTGAGCGATTCTTGCCTTGGAGGGAGACAGCACTTCTGCTAACTCATAAAGTATTAATAGATAATTACATCGGTGGTATAACGATATAAGGTGGAAGCTAGAGATCTCTGGCCGTTATCATAAGAAGCTTTGGCAATGTCTGGATAAAACTTGGAACTAATATAAGCAACTGTTTTATTCCTGTTCAGAATACTAAAGAAGTACTACTTATTCCAGATTTAGTTGATTTTTAGCATTTCAAAAATGCCATTTTACTACTAGTGCCAGTTATGTTTTATGTGTTTTTTTTTGTCAGTTTCACATTATTCCTTCATAATTCTTGCCAACTGTTCCAAAACTTTGATATTCAGATGACTCTAGTATTTTTATGGCTGATTTCAAGTCATCAAAAATTCGGTTGAAAGAAAGATTATAGTTACCTATTCATAAGCAATTTTACCACTTTTTCTAGTTGGAATTGGAAGTCCAACGAAATTCGCCAAAGCCTCGGCCCAGCCGAATCGTGCTCTCATCTATTCTCAATCTTAAGATAGGAACAGATATACTTAATCAGCCCTCTCCGTGACTTCTTAATGTGACTCTTTACTTGTAAAAGTTCAATCTCAACATATATTAACCTTTCAAATGAGTGTTGGCTGAAGAATAAACTGCTTGAACCTTTTCTCAAAAGGGTGCAAGTGCTTTGTTTATTCTTGTGAATAATTGAAATAATTTTTAAAATTCTTTGAAATTCAAATTATTCTTGTAAAAAAGTTTTTGCGGGGGGCCACAGCCACGCCCGCTTTTTTTAAGTGCGCCAATTTCAAAGCAACTACTTTGGCAGAATGCCGATTCAAGCTTTTTGTATACACATTCTGGAGTCATTTGCGACTCTCTGTAAAACTGCTTATTGCGCAAGGAAACACGGGACTGTGTCTGGTGAATATCGGTGGAAAATTTTTTCACGAAAACAAAATTTTAGAATGTGATTATCTACTGTTCAAATCTTGACAACAAAAGAGAAAAATATTCTTGACATAGTCAAATTGTAAGCACATAAGCCAGAGAATAAAGCTCATGTTGTGCAACGGTAACAATTCACAAACGACAGGGCTGTGTATTTACAAAGCTTCTAAAACAGCCGCTAAGGAAAATTTTTGAGAGGGAAATACGCAGCAGTAAGTCATCTTAGCGACCTATCATAAATATACCGTAGTTGGCTGCTAATTTCATGACTATGCCATATCGAACACTATATACAAGTAGAATGTATCATTTCTTCAATAGAGTTAAACATAAGTGATCACTCACTATATGCAGAAAAAGATAGCCGAGTAAGTCGAGTAGATTTACCGCTCAATATAGTGTGCCATTGTAGGTAGAATGCGGTAAAATTTGCGCGTGAAACAAATAGCTACGCCTGTGACGCCGGCCAATTGCTCGCGCAAAATGCCGGCATTACTAGCGTAGCTATTTGTTCACGCGCAAATCTTAATGCAGTTTACCTGCAGTGCGAGCACACTATATTAGGCGTAAAATCTAATTGTAAGTCTACAAGGCAAAAAAGTCTACTGATATCGATCAGTACGAAATACTGAAGGTAGAGTCTTTGCAGCGCAGTTGGGACGATCTGGAGCTGAATTAGAGGCGAGCTCTATAATAATTTTATTCTTACTTGTTTATGTTTCCAATGATGTTAAAAAATTATGAGAAACGTCAATGATTTTCTACAAGGATATTTAGCCCTCGATAAACAAAACTTTTTGAATCCCTTTTTTGGATGCGAGAAAAAACTTTTTAGCAATTCATAGTGAGGGAGCATACTCGAGTGAGTACAAATTGCTTGCTTTTACGAAAGCAGAAGTCAATATAGGTGTATGAATATTAGCCAGGAAAGATTAGTGATATTGGCTTTGCGCAGAACGATGTCAGACAATAGAGAAAGCGAATGATTCGATTTTGTAGCAAAGTTCTATACAACATTCGCACACTCGCACATGACCGGGGCAACCTTCAATAGCTACAAATCGAGCCAGCTACATTCCGAAACTCCCTTAACACTTTTGAAAGCCAAAGCAAAGCTCCATTCGGTTAGGCGATAAAAATTTGAAGTATTGCTTTTAGCCTTCTAGCCATACTTCAAAGTCATAAATATTTCTTGTATTGGTTTTGTCGAGCCACAGGTCATAATAGTGTATAAATCAAGGCAATTTCTTCCTCATGGGACCTAAGGAATATGATAAGTGTCAGCTGTGTAAAAAGGAAAAAAGGCGGCCGCAAACTTATTCTTCATTGGTTCTTCTCGGTTGTACACATCATATGAGTATGAAAGTCCTGTGTTTCATACTTGAATTTCCATTCCTAACCATCGACGACGATGTGGACCACCGGTGGCCCACGCACTTTTTGCCGCTAGGGACGATGTAGACTACCGGTGGCGCACACCCCTTGCAAAATCATATTCCAGGTTCTAGTATATTCTCCAACTCATTGTCAGTATTTTACTAACTATTCGCACTTTTGGAACCTGCAGACTCCGTCGTCTAAGAAGATGGTTGTATTTGATTACAAAACAGCTTTACATTTCGTAAATAAACACAGAACTTTCCCGCGCCGCAAGCGTTGTGCAAAATGTCGTCCCACAGCGCCACCACGCCAAATCAGGCGTCGTCGGTGGGTTAAATAAATGCCCCAGAAAGTAGAAGAAATTTTGTAGCTTTCAAAGAGGTATTGAAACAGCTATGTCTTTGACGAAGTCAGAATGGAACTTAGATTGAGTGAAAAATGTACAATTCAAGATGTTTCAGTTTTTTATCGTAGCAATTGTACCATCATATTCATACACGCGAATTAATTTTTTGTGTTATGTTCAAAGTGGGTGATTCTAGCGGGTATTTTTTTCACGTTTTGCGGATAATCAGTTCTTTATGCTTTGCATCCTATCCTAGATAGTAAAAAACGTGTACAATCTTCCGACGTATTCACCATTTTGAGAGATAATGTAACAAAGACCCAGCCAATAAAAATTACATGCCTAATTTTTTCGTCTTTTTGATTGCGCAGAGCATAACAGCATACACATGAAAAGAATTGCAAGGCCAAAACATTGATCCCAACTCCATGTACATCAAGATGAGCCTACTACTTGATGACCAAGCACTACGGGTTTTTTACGGTGTATTTTTAGTGTTTTCTCTTTTTACGGAAGAAATTTCCGTTCATGAAGATGATTCATGGAAATTACAATAACCTAAGTGAAATTGGACTTGATGCTTCGACAACGCTAGCGCCTAAAAAGTGGCTTGTTCAGAGCAGTATATCCACTAAGTCAGCACAGACTTGAAGAAAAAATTTTGTGCCGCGGTCATAAGTCACATAAATCAGCTGGAGCTGATCTAATGCTATTGTCATTCATTATTGACTTCAAGGGCGAAGATGAAGAACAGATGATTACTAAGAGTCTAATAAAGCAGACTCCCATTTCGTAAATCAGCCGTTACATCGTCATCAAGCATACAAGTTTTCTGAAGAAGATATAAAGATGAGTGATACTGTAGAAACAACTAAAAGGACAATCATAAAACGGTTTACATGGGACATGTGATGAGAAGAGAATACGAAATTAAGGCTCGTTTGTCTAAATGCACTTGTGGGACTTACCGGAAGTGAAACGCAAGCATTCGCTTCTACATTCGGGTTCCATTCACAGTATTATCAGAGTAGACGCAAGGGGCCGTTTCCTTAGTGACAAGAGCACACGATCCTGAAATGCGGAATGCTCTCACTAGCGCTTCATAAGTGATGAGAAACGATGTAAGGTTCAGAATTCATCGCATGAAAAGTTGCAGCAAATGGTTCGCATTAGGAAAATTATAAAAATGCTATGGACTTTACAGAATCAGTAAGAAAAGGAAATGAAATGTAAGCGAAGGGAAGAACGAAAAATGATAGCTAAGGCAAAACTTTGAGCCCGTGCTTATTGTAAGTATGATTGATTTTTGAGCAACTATGATACAGCTGGATTAAAATGTATACAAGATCAGCAGAAGCATGAGGTCATTACCTGGTAAGCCTCGTATGAAGAAGTCTCGTTTAATATAAACACAAAAAGCACAGTCTGTGTCAACCGCGCCCTTCCTTTTTCACTTGCGCAACCGCGACGCCAAAGCAGTGCCATGCTCGCGCACATTCTAATCACTCTTATCGACTACATGTCCGCACGCAAAGCCCTTGCGTTGCAGTTGCACACTTGCTACGCAGAAAGGAGTAAGCAATTGACACGGACTATACAAAGATCTAAATTTGAAAAAAATTACTGCATTTCAAGAAATGCACCGTCTGTAACTTACATTTTCAGAAAAGATATGATTCACACGTAAACTAGCAGGCACCCAAAATAAGCCAATATGATTACTATTTTCATCCTAAGATAGAAACAAGGAAATGAATCCATGCATGACTACATATGTCTATCTTTTTGAAAAGTTACTAAAGGAAATCACTCAATTTCCGGTTACAAGAAGTTTCATAATTCAAAAAGTACTCTGTCAATATAAATACTATGCATTTCATTATTATAGTACCCGCATCATAAAAATAGCTTGATATGATTTGGGTTAAAGGTTCTCTTTTTGTCAGACATGCACGGAATCTATTTTCCTGCAGAATCTGACATCACAGAGCTGATACCGGCGACGATGACGAACTGATCGAAACGTCAGGCCATCCAAGTCATTTCATTTCATTTGTTGCATAGGGGATAACTCTATGATAACCAAATCAACGAAACAAAGCAAGTCATTAACAATTTGGTTAATCAAGAGAAAAATTTGCCCATGTGCATATATAGCTCAAGAAAATGATGAGCACGTGTAGTTGGTGCATAGATAAACTTGAAATTGACGCATTTAGTGCTTTATAATGCATTAGAGCTTGAAAGTAGGTTTGCAAGTGAAAAGCTCATAAGTTGCAAACTGAAGCTAGCGCTTAAGTGCAAAAAGCAAGTGTAAATTGAAAATGCAAGGCAGTCATAAATTGTAAATTTTGCCGATGTAGAAGATAGTACTCGAATATTGGGTTACAAAAGCTTCAAACCAAAAACTGTAAAAAAAAATACGTCTAACGCTCCCAGAATGCAACCCAATGACGCATTTTTATTGTGTTTTCAAACAGCTTTGAGAATTTTTTCCGAGCATAATCGAACCAAAATGGAGAGAATTTAGAATCTGAAGCTTTCTGCGGGAACGTCATCAGCACGAAGTTTGGTTCGGAAAGCGTCATTTAGCTGCTAAAAGTCCAATAGAATGAAATAAATGTCATAGCCTCCTTAGCGACTAAAATCTAGAAAGATACAGCTCTAGCATTTTCTATAGAGTTTTAATTGCAGCGATGTGACATGAGCATAGAAAACCATAAAAAATCCTTTCTCTAAATCAAAATGTCATGTAAAAAGAATTTATTAGACCTGAAGAAGATTACAATTTTCAGCAACTTTGGTGAAAGGTTTATGTTCCAATCAATGAAAAATGTCATAAAAACTTCAAAAGGTTTAGTCTAATCCAACGCGTTTGTTTCATATAACAATGACTAGAGAAAAGTCAGCACAAATCAGTGAAATAGGGATGTGACACATGAGACAAGCGCTAGATGCAAAATGTAAGCAACTTGAAGAACCGCCCCCTTAGCCCCCTTATGCCACGTCAATGTCGTGTTAAGACCTGAATTGGCCAAGATTCAACAGAGTGTAACGCGTTGAGTGACAAGTTTGAACTTGGCGCTCAAAGCTGCGCTCCGCCCCCAAAGTTTTGGCGGCAAAAACGGGAGCGGGGTTGTTAGGGTCCGGCATGAGTTCGTTTCTAGGCTTCTTGAAAACGAAGTCCCCCTTGACTTCCGTGAATTGCTTTTTGCACGTATTGTCGCCTTCCTCGTGTCCCTTTCTTTCTTTGCGAGAAAAGAGGGAATGCGTCTGATATGTGTAAAATTTAGATTGTATCCACTCAAAACCCACTTTGGATACGATACTTAGCTAATAAGCTCCAACAGCGCGGACAACTGTCACAGGTATAGCTCATTTATAAAATCGTGACGACGGATTTGACTGCGGACTTTGCGCACACGGGAGCATAAAACGCTCATACAAGAAGACATCACCTCAACGCGCAGCTCAGTCACTGCCAGTTTCTAAATATATCATACGCAAGCAAAAAAACCGTTTGACTAGAGATGAAAACCAGGAAAATTCCGTTTCCGGAAGTGGCGTGCGTGCAGCGCGCGGTCGCAGCATCTTCACGATTTTTCAAATGCCTTACAGTAATGCAAAGGGGGCGTGTTTTGTTGCAAACAAAAGCTCGGGACCTTACCTTTTGGCGATATGACTTCCACTACCTTCAAAATTTTGGATTTCACCATATTTTTGTTTCCATGGTCCCACAAAAAATCAGTGCTTTGGCTTAAAGTGATTTTCAAGTGGACGCAGCGAGAAGCGAGCACCATTGAGTAAACAATTTTCTAGGGCGAAGTTGTTGCAGAGAGGCAAAATGATGATTTATCGTGCACGTCGTTGCTTCAGCAACTCGTCCGTCAATGATTGACAAGAGAACAAGGGGAACTCGTGCAGTATAATTGAATACAAAGATTACTAATCCCCGGAGAGAGGGTGTCGAGCCGAGATCAGCTCGCACAACGAGACTTGGCCACATAGCTGAAGTAGAGGTGTAAAACTAGCGCTCAACAGCGCTACTTCGGATTTCGCTCGATTATACATTAGTCAACGGATTCACGTCATCGACAGCGAGGACAGCATCCCCTCCCACTTTGCAATTTCCGCTTTGCCGTGCTATCACCCACGGCAGCTTTTGAAACGAAGCCAAACCGGGCAACGATGTGAATTCAATTTCGAATACTCGAAATTGCCTTAGGATTGCGTTCTGAAAAACTAATACTTCTAAAAGTTTCAATTTCTGCACATTTCGCAGCTAGGAAATCTCTCGTTCAAGAAAACGGCAAGTGTTACGGGAATAATGTCTCATGAGATATTCCACTTAGGAAAATTCGTATTTTTTTATATAATTAGCTTAGGGAGTATCGTAATATGGTACATTGGCGACTACTTTATGACCGTGAGAGGAGCTCAGCGTTCTTAGGGGCGGAGTTTGCCACTTTACGGCTGCATTTCTATAGTTGGTTTTCAGCAACTGAGGAAAACAGCAAGCGTTGTAAATGTTTTGCTACTATATGTACGATAGTGATATTGTGAAGCGATGCGTACAATTTTATTTCGAATTGACGTTAATGATTTTTTTTGAAATTGTATTTGTGGGAATCTTGAACTATGTAAATGCCAGATCACTTTGTGGGAATTGCTTTGCCTTATAGTAAAGTTCGGTACATGTACTAGTTGGTGTTCATATTGGAGAGGGGGAGACTAAGAAACGATAATATTCACTTAGCTATGTACTTCGGGCAAGCTAAAGATGGAACGAACTCAGCTACCTCTCAAACTTTCCACAGGTAATTGCTGCTTTGGTAAGTCAAAATTATAGCCTTTTGCAGATTCAGCTTAGAAGAGTTATTCAAATAATAACGTTTTCATTTCAGCCACGGTTCTATAAGCTGTCAATAGTACACTTGCCATTATAACACGAGGGAGGACAATGTCCTGGCATAAAGATGTGGTTACATAGCTCTGCTTTCAGTGTTGCCAAACAACACTCCAATTTCAAGTCACAAAAAATGAGAAGTTGGAGTTGTTACTGCGCAGGGTATGCTATGCCATTTGACCCATAATAAGGGTCCCCAGGAGATTCCGACTTCAAGAGAAAGCTAAACCCTGGGAGTTTGTGGCATATTAAGTTTTTAGATAATTTTTGTTACACTTTTTTGTAAAGTTCTGAAAAATTCCAGGAGCTTTCCAGAATTTTCAAATCGTCTTCATCACTAAAGCACGAAGAATGCACACAGCCGCATTATTTATGCCGCAAATGCACAAATACTTGGCAAGTCTACGACAACTTTGTGGACACACTTAAAATTGTGATAATTTCTTTAGATTTTTCTCTGCGTCTAGATTTGTTTATCCCTTCCTGAATTTTTTAAAACATATTTTCGAGCTGTTTCTTTTATGGCAGCACTTTGATAACGCTAGCGTATCAAAAGTGAGCGGGAAAATAAATAAAATCAAAATTCAAAATTGAAAATTTCTCTTGTTGTGTTACCACAACTCCCGGTCTCCCTCTCTCCTTCTCTCTGATCACCTGAAATAATGCTCGTTGACAAAAATGTCAAACTTACTCCCGCTGATAAAGTGAGAATTTTGCGCACGAACCACGGATCTGACCGTACAGGTTGGTGGACCTTTGAACCTCGTCAACACTTCTTGAACGTAAGAATTTTCGAAAGTTTCTTAGATTTCTAGGAAATAAATATAAAAGCGTGGCAGAAACTACCCGCCATCCTGACAAAACATGACCTTTTTCCATTTCGAATTAATGTTTTTAAGGTAAACTATTTCGTTTGATAACTAATCAATCGATAATAATTCATTTAATCAAGAAACATCGGAAAAATAGGGTAATCCAACCTCTCAAAGAAACAGATAGCATGTTAGAAGGTGAGTAACATAAAATATGATATTGGCTCACATCCGCAAGTGCAGAGAGGAGAAGTGAATGCGAAGTTCTCTTGATGCGAGCCGAGAGGTGTGAGAAAGACGAGAGTAACGGTCAAGCGGAGAGAAATCCATTAACATGGGAAGAAAAAGTATAGGATG